GGGGGGGGGAGGGGGGGGGACGGCCGAACCTGGATCATATATGTGTCTGTATGTGCGTCGGCAGTTGTGTCTTTGTAGCGCTTGTGTCGACATTCTTGACCACAGCCGTTGCATAGTACGGAGGTACCTCGGCTGGGCTGTGAAGGCGATGCGCCACTGCATTTTCCTAGCGATGGATCAGCACCCGGCACTCGCAGCTTTGCTGGTGAAGACCGGCCATGCCCGCATTTTCTTTATGGAGGACCGTTTCTGGGGAGCTGTACTCGTGAACAGCGACTTCGTCGGTGAAAACTTGGTTGGGAAGATCCTGGAGGAGAAGCGTATGCTTCTTAGGTGTGGCATGCCTACCTAGCTTCAAACCAGGGACGCAGCAAGGACCACGCACCACCAAGGACATCAAGCACCTTAGCTTTGTTTCAGCACCTGGACTGCGGTGAGCAGGAAAAGGAACTTCGCGGAGGCCGTGCAAAGATCATCGTGTTCCTGCTCGGCCAACTACACTGGCGAAGGCTGTGACATTGGGGCTGCTCTTGGCGGCTCTTCTCAACTAGCCTCTGAAATGCTTCGGCATGCGGCGATGCGGGCTGCAAGAAGGACATACGTCGAGCCTCGAGCCGCAGCTTGTCTTGAACAACGGACGCAGAAATCGACGGCGAATGCAACTCTGTCCATGCGCATGTGCCGAAAAGGAGAGATCTGTGGGTCTTTGGGGGTGCAACTGCATTCAAGCCCAACCGTCTGCGGACTAAACCTCAAGACTGCCTGCAGCGAGAGCAGCCCGGAAAAAGGGTGCTCGCAAGAACTGCAAACCTGATTTAAGCAACTTGTAGCCTCTCTAGCCGCTAAGCTGAGCTCACTCAGCCATGTTCCTTAAAGAGATACGACGTAGTCATCGGCCCCATGGGGAGCGGCCTGTCTGGGGAGCATGACGACACGCCCACAGCAGCCACGAAAAAGATCGCGGCCTCAGCGCTACAAGGAGCCATGACAAGCCTCTGGTGGCCTTGCTGGTCATGCTTCTTGTAGCGTGTAGCTGTCGCCAGGAGCTGTGACAAAGGCCCAATCAGAGCAGGCCATGATCACGGCTTTCAAGTCCTTCGATTCAGAGCCTCAGCTGAGCCCGTGAGACAGCCCTCACAGCCCCACCAACTGCCACCAACCCGTCAGACTGAGCCCTTTGGCGAGGATGGAAACGGCACAATCAGCAAGAAAGAGCATCGCGGCCGGCAAGGATTTCTTTTGCAGAAGGTGGTTGCCGTCCAAAGCGCATGCAGCACAGAATTACAGGACATTTGCCCATTCCTTTCCTAGTCGATGCTGCAGAATGATGTGGCCAAGGTTTGCTGCGGTACTGTCAAAGCTGAACATGAAGCACCTGCCTCGACCGCTTGCTCTCCCAAAGTAGACACGTGGGTCTCGAGTCTTTCGGCGCACAAGGATGACAGCGCGGCAGATAGACTTGCTTTTTGATACTGTCGACAAAGACCAGGCGCGCAGCGCAAATTCTAAACAGTTCACCCGCCATCCGCCATCCGCCATCCAGCATGCCAGGATGGCCATATTGAGTTTGAGGAGCTTGTTTGCTGGCTTTGCGGCACGCCCTGCTTCACTAAGTTGCTCGGCAGCATGCTTGAGCTGCTCGTCGTTTGGCACATTGCAGTCTCTTGCGAAAGGTATTTCGAAGAGCTCGACTCTATTTTGAGAGAATACTCCGAAAAGATCAAGCCAGTTGGAAGAGGCGATGCGGTGATCAAGAACGCCGAGTCCGTCAACCAATGGCTAACGATCCTAGACAGCAGCAGAACGAGTGAGGTGTGTACAGTCGCACGCTTCGAGTTGGCTTGGACTGTAGGGCTATTGGGTTACGCGGTTGTATTACATAGCTACAGAGTTGTGAGGTTGTATTGTCAGTTATAGGTTGAATGGGGTTGCAGGGCTCGGCCAAAACCAAATTCTCCCGTTCAGGAAGGAGCTTGAGAGAAGAATACGCCCCGTTGTGAAGCTACTTGGCAGCAGCTGCACATCCAATGGCAAGGCATGTAATCACATCCCCCAGCAGCTCAGCACCGCAGGTGAGAGCTCGGTGCGCCTTGAAATTCTGCTTGTAGGGTTTTGACACTTCTCACCTCCTAAGGCAAGTCTTTCACCAAGCCGACAAGGATTCGAATGGGATCCTTTCCGAAGAGGAGAGTGTTCTCCTTTTCTCGCAGCTCGTCACCGTTCCAGTCATCAGGGGCTGTGCTTCTGATGTGGGTCGGCACCAAGGAACTATGCACACACCCTGGCCAAGCATGCTGATACCATCATCCAGGAGGGGCCCACAAGGGGGTTTGGCGTTGGATTTCTTGCCCATGCTCGGATAGCAGAGCCTGTGCCCGCACTGCTGGCAGATTTCCAAGCCGACATGGTTGGAAAAAGGCCATTGGGACAGGCAGAGCTTCAAGAAGCTGGTCATGCTCCCTCGCCGCAGTTTTCAGCCATCTACCATCTGGGCCGTTTGCCGCAGAGAGAGCGGGCCGAGGCCGAACTTGCACCACATCGTGACCGCACAGAGTCTTGGCGAAGCGAATTCTCCGCGCGATTGTGCCCGCTTCGTATGCCGCTTCCTTTCACGCTGACAAAGGATGTCGGACTACGAGAGCCACATCGATGACAGACATCGGCAAGCCTTTAATGCTCTTGGTTTGAAGATTCCAGAAGCCGGCTATGTAATTCTAAGCAGAAGTCTCATCCTGACCCAGGTCATTGATAAGAACAAAGATGGTCATCTCATCTTGGACGAGGTCGTGCAGTGCCTGACTCCGGGGACCTACCGGTACCGCGAGTTCCACAAGGCCCTTCAGCTTTACACCCCGGAGGGCTTCAAGGACGCGCGAAGGGCCCTTTGGGCTCCCCTCTGAGGTCTGAAAGGTGTCAGCTCACCAAAGACAAACTCTGAATGGCGTCCCAGGAAGCTTTCGATGCAGTGATCACGGCGAAGCCCAAGAGATGAGCCGCAACCTGCTGACTTTGAGTCCACCACCTTTGGAACAGGGCGCAGACTGTGGAATCGCTGGACTCTGGAGTACATATATATTTTGACCAGAGTTTGTGTCACTTCTCGGTGGACCCGCGAATTGCGAGCCACTGTTTGTTTCCTCTCCTGCAGTGGGAGCATGGAAACGTTTAAGGTACTCCCGGCCGGTCGCTGGTGGTTCCGGCCACTTGAGGCCCAAAAGCGCTCTCCGAGCGGCTCATCCAGTTTCTGATTGGCGGAGAGGTGTCGTTGCAGCTTCCTGTTTCTGTGCTCTTTCTGGCCCAAGTTTCTTCCACATTGGTTTTGCTGTCGCTCTGCTGCGCACAGAACATGTGAAAGCAGACTGTGTAAGACTCTACGCTCCAAACGTGGCATGCTGCTCCAACCTTTTGCGAGCTGGGGTCATGGATGGTCATCGTCATACCGCGTTTCAACGCGTGGATGCAAGGCACGCCGCATAGCATACTGCATGTCACACTGCATAGGGCATGTGCGTACAACCGCATTTGCTGGCGGGTCCTGCTTGCGTTTCTCGTGTGCAGTGCAGCCACTTCGCGCTCTGCGCTGTGCGATCCGCTTGTGTTGAGGCAGAGCCCCGTCAAGAGAAAAGCTTGCAGTGAGTTGGCCGACATGGTGGATGAGGCCCTGGCAGAGAAGATGATGGCTAAGCCCGGCTGGGTTTTGTTCTCTAATTGATTCGTAGTGAGGTGGAACGGGGATCGGAGGACCGTGCCGCCCTGCGGCGCCGATCTCTGGACAAAGCTCTGCAGGTCTTCCAAAGCGCGGTGCGAGCTGGTGCGTCGTCTCTAAGTTTGAGCCTGGCACAGCTAGCACAGAGGATCTCGTGAATCTCGGAGCCCCCTGATTAAGAGAAGGTCTGCGTGACTTTCTGGGCCTACGGACACAGGCTAATGCCACTCGTTCGGTTGGAAAAACAGCCCACGATCACACTTGGTGGAAAGATCTTCGCCACCTCAGCAACAGCCTTTCAACCTCCCACAATGCCGGCCTGTACACTGGCGCATCAAGACTGTACACTGGCGCATCAAGACAGCTTCGCCTCTCTCTCTCTCCCTCTCTCTGTGTTTGTACGTGTCTCTGTCTGTGCGTGTCTCTGCCTGTGTCTGTGTGTGTCTGTGTGTGTCTGTGTGTCCGTGTTTGTCTGTCTGTCTCTCTGTCTCTCTGTCTGTCTCTGTCTGTCTCTGTCTGTCTCTGTCTGTCTCTGTCTGTCTCTGTCTGTCTCTGTCTGACTCTGTCTGTGTCTGTCTGTGTCTTTCTGTCTCTGTCTGTCTCTGTCTGTCTCT